AATACACATAGTTCATAATGTACTCTTAGTTTACTATGTCACGTACTATTGAATGACCCCTCATTGAAATTTATTTATTAATTTTGTGTTTATTGTTTAGGTATACCTCAAAGGGTAAAGATGTTTACTCAACGACATTTCATTGGCCACAAAATAGCCAGCTCAAATTAGGTGCAGTGGACTCGCAAATAGTTAGCAAGATTGAGATGCTAGGCGCACCTGGTGAATTAAAATTTACCATGCTAGATAAAGGTATCCAGGTACAGTTTCCAAACTTACCACCTGATACTAGGCTCCAGTATGCTTGGACACTCAAAATTACTACAAAATGAATTCTGACTAAAATTAACCCTGTTAATATCTTATAACTGGACTTAAAAATATGAATTTAAATGTTAACATACTAAAAATAAATTGAATTAAATAATTTTTATAAATATTCGGAGTTTATCTTAATAAAATATCATACCTTGAATATCGTTGGATAGTGTTAAAAATTATTTTGAAAAACTAATTCAACTTGAATAACTGTTAAATTGGGCTACTGGTGCCATACAGTTATATACAATATATGGTTTGTGCATTGAATNAAAACTAATTCAACTTGAATAACTGTTAAATTGGGCTACTGGTGCCATACAGTTATATACAATATATGGTTTGTGCATTGAATTGAGTTTGAAGTTACAAACTGGAAGTTAATTGAAAAATAAAACTAATTTTGCAAAATAAGCAAGTTTATTTGATTTATTTAACTGAACATGCTTACAATATTCAGAATATTCTATACGGCTCTGTATTCCCTTCTAAGTTTTTCAATTCAAGTTTTTTTATTCTTAAAATATTTTTTGACGCCTAGATAAAATTAATTTAATTTTTTTAAAAATCTCCACATATTTTATAAAACAATTGGTAATAAAACAATAAGTGGTGATGTGAGCATAATTTATAATATAATTTGGTTTAAAACATGGTGTAACCAGTAATGTGATAAATTTTTAAAATCTATTAAATATTCTCTATTTATCCTCCCTGGTCATAAAATTAATTGGCATGTCTAATGTAGTTGCCGGTTAGTTTAATATTTTTGACCCATATTAACTTTGACAATTTGATTTAACACAAGTTCCTATAAACATAAATTATAAACTATTTTATATAATAATGATTTTTAAAATTATATTAATAGGTGATTAATATCTGTACTATTATATATATATAACATAAACTTATTTATTTATTCATGTAAGAATACATGCACTGTAAATCCATTAAACTTATCCGGTACTAGTTGGGTATCTAATCAATTAGTGCACTAAAAATACTTAAATAAATAAACCAAAAATATAATTGTTCAAAATAAAAACTTATGATTAAACTTCATACTATTAGATATGCCTAAATTAGATCTAGATTAGTTTTCATAAATTAGTGCGCAAAGGGCACACTAGTGTTGAAACCCTTTTATACATTAATGCATGATTCACAACACTAGTTTTGTAATTTATAAGCAGTAATACTTATTTAAATAATGTTGCAGGTATATTATTATATAGTTTACAAAAGATTGTATATTTATTATTTAAATTTTTAAATTATGAAAATAAAAAGGTCACAAATTATACTAAGAGGGTAAACTAATTACTTTCTATTATCAACGTATATTATATATTTAATTCAACTGAACATGATAAATCATCCACTCAATAACATTGTGAAAAATTTTTGTTTTGATCATGCAACTTAGTCAAATAATTATTTAAAGTTATCTATATAGTACGGTACATTCTTTTTATCACAATAAATTGATTAAATTAATGAACAATAAGCAAAAACATTTTAATAGATTTGGTAATAGGTATTTTAGTACATTTTAATGTATTTGTATTGGGACTTGATATATCATAACTTTCCCTGACACATATAAAAAGATTTAGAAATTTTTCCAATATTATAAAATTACAACTCATAAAGTTTTAAATTTAAAAAAATATTATTACTATTTTAACCAACATTGCAATGATTTTATTTCAAACTATATTAATATTGCTGTATATCGCACAACATCTTAAACCATGTACTGCAGTCAATATTACCTACGATGCTAAATGGGAATCACTAGACAAACGCCCACTACCAGGGTGGTACGACGAGGCTAAAGTTGGCATTTTCATACATTGGGGCGTATTTTCTGTACCCGCGTTTGACAGCGCGTGGTTCTGGTATGAACTTGGTCCGATATTAAAATATAACTTTTAGTTAAATTAATATTATACTATTTTTATAGTTATAACTGGCAAGCTAAAAAACAAAAGAATATCGTTGATTTTATGGCTAAAAATTATAAGCCCGATTTCACCTACCAAGATTTTGGACCCCAATTCACCGCTGAATTATGGGACCCGGCTAAGTGGGTCGAGTTGTTCAAGTATGACTGGTTATTATGTATTGTTATTTAGTTACTGTAACATTTATTTTATATACTACTAGGGCGGCGGGTGCCAAGTATGTGGTGATGACTACCAAACACCACGAGGGCTTTACTATGTGGCCCTCCAAACACTCGTGGGGCTGGAATGCCGTTGATATCGGTCCCAAACGAGACCTTGTTGGTATGAGTAATTTTATTTTAATTTGACAACATTAATATCTAATAAACTATCTACTGAGCTTAGTTAAATAATACGGTTCAACATTTTTAAAAATATTTAAAATTTAAAAGAATATTAAATTAATGTTAAAAGTATAGAATTTGAAATAGTGAAATAGATATTAAATTGTGCTAGTTAACATTTAAATATTCGTTTTATAATAGAATTTTTAAAATGTTTAAAGAATTATTTAAAATAGTAAAACAGATTTATTCATTGTGTTAGTTAATTAACGGTATATAACTTAATATTTATTAATATTACCAAGGTGACTTGGCAGCTGCAGTCCGTAAGGAAGGCCTAAAATTTGGAACTTATTATTCATTCCTGGAATTTTTCAATCCACTATTTCTGAGTGACCAGGCTACTGGTTACAAAGCACAAGATTTTATCAAAGTAATTTTCTAAAATTGGATAATATTGGCAATTAATAAATAATAATTAAATTAATTTCTAAAAATTGTACTAGTACAAAATGCAACCAGAAATAAGGGAGTTAATCACTAATTACAAGCCCGATGTTGTATGGGCTGATGGTTCGTGGGTTGCCGACGATACCTATTTTGAAAGCACCGACTTTTTGGCCTGGCTGTATAATGACAGGTAATATAATCTTTTAAATATAATACTTTTACTAGTAAACTGTAAAACATTTTTAAAATTAATTTTAAATTTATTTAATACAGCCCTGTTAAGGACACCGTTGTAGTTAACGATCGTTGGGGTATGCAATAAATTATATTTATTCAGACATCAAAACGTATACTTTAATTCAGCTTTTATATTATTATATTACTTTCAAAATGACTTTATAATCATTATGAAATCAGAGGTTGAAGTATATTATTTTGTTAATTATGCATACATAAGTTATTTATTTTTAAAAATCCCCCAATTAAATTCTATACAATAGGTAGCAACACCCCGGGAAAACATGGGGGGTTTTACAACATGGCCGACCGGACTAACCCTAAAATTCTAATGGAACATAAGTTTGAAAATGCTATGTCTATGGACAGGGGCGCCTGGGGGTTCAGGAGGGA